TTCATTGTCATGGCCACTTCTCAAGTTATATATAGTGTTTCTGTTATGAAAATGATGGTGGTTGAAAATATATTTGAAACATTTTGGAATAAAATGTCTTAAGGCTAATTTCACAGCTAGCTTTTTTTGTATCCCAAATACACAAAATTAAAATATATTTTCACACTTTCTGCATAATTTGCCAAATTACAGCACGACTGGAGATGACACAATAAAATATTCATTAAAATAAACAACAAAAAACAATGTTTGAAAAAAAATAACCCCTGGGATATAAGAGAGTCCAAAGTTGAAGAAATATCCCTTTATATCAATTTACCACTGTAGTTCCAATTATTTCTGTTCTTAGTGCTACTGCTCCTGACCTTATTACTAGTATTACTCTTATTATGACCTCTAACTAGAACCACAAGTATTGGTATTTTTACAAGACCCATGGCAGCTCTAATTAGGCCAACAGAAGAAGTAGATCTGTCTCAGTGAAGTGAAGACCAGTGATGCCAAGAACGGTACGATTCTGCAGCATTTACCTTTCCCCAGAGGATCCACAGGCAGCCATGCTGCAGAACGGTTCAGCTCTCAATATCAAAGGATGCAAAGCAGGATGAGGCAGCGCTGGAGGCAGGCGTGATAACAAAGTGGTCATTTGGATCTAGGAAATTAGTTCAATTTTAATTTGCTCACATTGTAAAACGACTCCCGGTATGGCTCTTTACGAGGCTTGTAATTACACAGTGGGAAAAAAAAAGAACATTGTTATGGGTGCGCTGGGAAAATAAAAGCAAAAAAGCATAAAAACAGTACTACATTCACCTTTAATTAAGCTTCATTTTCAGAAGTTTATTTGGTTTTATTTTAATGATTTCTGTTGTTTTTGGAGCAATTAAACCTCATTCATATACCACACAAACTTCAGGTGGTAAAAGAGTCGTTTCTGCTACTTTCACCTAAAAAGCAGTTGCCGGATCCAGCGATGTCCACAATTCAGACGTGTACCTTCTAAAAAGCCAATTAAATACAACCCTCAGTGCCAGTTAATGGACTCTGTAATGGCTATGTCAATATGAATATATATTTTCCCCCCTCAGTCAGACATGTATTGAGTATCAGCTGACATACTGTCTGAGCAGGGGGTTAGAACAGCAGGGGAGATGAACAGGAGACAGTAATTTAGAAAATCGATCCAATTCCCTGCAACCGCGCTTTAAACTTTTCTAGAAAAAACGGCCGTGGCTCTGGGAACGAACCTTGGGAAAGTTGTTCGGCTGCCTGACCTCCAGTTCAGGCTTTTGCTTAATGGTCATGTAGCGCATAATAACAACGTCGAGGAGGGTTTAGGTGGTCCATTTGAAAAAAAAGTGGAGTGTTTTATTATTCCGAGTGTGTCTGAATTGTTACAATGACAGACAGCGTAGAGAGTAAGTCGCTCTCTCTCTCCCTCAGCAATCATCCCATCTCAACGGCACTTTGCTTGCCCCCGAGGACAAGACCTTTATGACAGGAGGACAAGAGAGTGTCTGTGTGGAAGATATAGTTCTAGAGATTCTTTCCCTCCCCTTCTTTCTTCATCTTTTCTCCGTGTCTCTTTTCCTCTCTTTCGATGACAGTTTTGGGGCAATTTCCAGCGCCGCTGTGTTTGTGTGCATGAGGTGTAAGGCTAGGAGGAGACGGGAACTGAGAGAAAGAACTTTAGGAGAGAGCGAGGAAGAGATGTAGTCCCACAGGTAAACAATTTCATCGTTAGCACAGGGGACTGCCGGTAGAAAATGAAATTATGATTTCGTATGCGGTTTAAAATTCTCATTCGCCTTTAATGAATGGACTCAGAGCTAGTGACCCGACGGTGCAGAGCAGTCTAGGCCTCATCATCTCTCTTCTCTCTCTCTCTTGCCTTTTCTTGGTCTCTATATCTCTCTCCTTCATTCTCTCTCTTTGTCCCTCCCTCTGCCCACCTCCCTCTCTGTATCTCTCTACTCTCTGTTGACAGTCTATCTGGGTATGGAAATAAGCATTGGAGATTGCCTCCAGCTGTATGTCAGTCCCCAGAGGAGGAAATAGACCCATGATAGCACATTTACTTAATACGCTAAAAAGCTGGAAATAATAGCTTTGGTGTGCAAGGGAAACAAATCGGGGAGCTTTGATAGGCAAAAAAAAAAGAAACGTAAAAAAAGAAATTCAATCAGTGGTCCATTTCGGGCAGCCCCGGATCCTGCTGATTCCACTAATTTGTGTTATTTTTTCGTCTCAGCATTTAGATATACAAATCCCATTGAAGCGTTTTCCTGAATGCTAATCATATCTGTCAGTTAGCAGTTGGCAAACAAAGGGTAGAGTGACAGATTGCTGGAATATACTCAATGTTTCCTCACATGACAGTTTTACAAAATGCAGAGTATTAACAGTCATTATTCAATTTGGAAAGGCAATCTATAGCAAAAATTGTAATGGACTGCTAAATGTGTTCAGCGGCTTGCGAGTGCGTGCTGCCTTCCTCCGACTTGCCGCCCGGAGCGAATATTGAAAAAAGAATTATAAGCATTGAGTTTTAGGACAAATTATTAATTTTTAATCTCCAGTTGGTATTCAAATGTTATGAATGTGATTTTCTACCTGAGGAGACGTGTGTGTATTTTCTGCCTTATGCTCAGCAATAG